TGCTTTTGGTCTTCAGCTACATGGCAAAAGTTTTCATGAGAATTTTGTTGTCTTCACCTTTTCTGTTTCACAGCCGTTTCCTGCTGCCACTGCTCGCTCTCCTTTACTTCCAGTGTTCTTTTCTTTGTAGTGGTCTACTTACTGTAAGGGAACTGCGGTCACAGATTGGCAGCAACCTGTTCTGTTAGGCAAAAACAAAGAACAACTGGGAGCAAAGCAGGTTGGGAATGAAGCATGGTCCATGTGAAGTAAGGAAAATAAAAGGCATTTGTAAATAAAAGAAATCACTGAGGGGAGGGTGTGTGCCTGGGCTGCACAGGGGAGTGGCAGAACCACAGCTGGCTTTTGTGGTTTGTCTGGCACAGGGTGAGGGAAGTGTGCATGAGATAAAAGAAGGCAAACTCTCCAAGTACTTACCTGGGGTAGTTGGAGCGCTTTCCTTATTTCAGAAATGGGAATTACCTACATTGCATCAGCCAGCACAGATGCACACTGTGCCTCTGCTTCTGTTCATTTCCATTGAACCAGCCACTTTACTGTCTCTCCTAGAGCAAAGGGTGGTGCCAGCTCTGCATGAATACGTTAGCACTTCTTGAAAAGAACTAAAGCTAAAGCAGAGTAAAAGTATGTTCTGTTTGGGAAGATGTTGTCCACGGTCCTTTATACTTACACCAAGTGTGAATTTCTTGAATTTAAGATGTTTTTACCAAATATGCAATGAAAAGCAGGTAGGAACGTTCAAGTACAAAGCACATCCTCACTTAGTTAAAAGCATGCCGATAGAGTAACGTAGTTTTCCTCCTAATCCTCTGGCAAGTTGAGATCTTGGTTTTAGGTGAAGGAGATTTCCTTTTAAAATTTTTGGTGTGACTTGTGAATTCATTGCAAAGGATTTCTCTGCGGTTGAGGCTTGTGAATACATGTTTGTGTTCACTAGAAGTACTCCTTTCATACAGCAGTGAGGTATTGTTAAGACCTTGCCTGAATTCAGCAGTGTATATTAAAAAGGACATTGTTACTCTTGACCTGTTGACGTGTAGACATGGTCCACTCATAAGAATATGTCCCCTTTGACTTTCCTGTATTTCTCATGAAGGCCTACGTCTTGTTCATGCCTTACTGCTCTGTCATGCTAATAGAGAGGTGTGCGGTGTGAGAGGTGATGTTGTCTAAATACAGTCCTGTTCTTCCAGTTTATTGCAGGCAGAACAGATTTTGTGGAGACAACTGAGAAGGGTGAAAGGAAGTAGCATGGGAGAACGAGGATGTAAGTATAGAGGGGGAAAGTGAAGGCAGAAGAGAGAAAAGGATGTAAGAGTAGATGATCCATACAGGAAGGAGAGAAGGTGACAGAAAAGTATGTCGAGTGTTTTCCTGGCCTGTGTTTCATAGAGTTTCTCAGTGGAGTGCTTTGAAGTTGTAGTTTCTGCCAGCGGAGAAGGAGTTCTGTAGCTGCAGCTGGGCTCTCCAGCTCCAGCCGGCAGGGCTGGTCTTGCAGAGAGTGCAAAAGCAGGGACCAGACTTTAGCCCTGGTCTTCCCTGGCAGATGGATCTTGAACCTGAGCACATGGGACGCAAGCGAGGCTGTGCCACTCTGAATGCGAATGTGGGGACAGAGGCCTGGTACAGGGTTTGTATGTTGCGAACTCACAGTGCTAGATGAGATGCCTTAGAACAGCTGGAGAGCGTCATCTGCTCTCACGAACACAGCTTTTTTTCTTCTTTGTTGAAGAAAATAATACATTTTGTATTCTTTTGTAACTTATGTAAACATTTATAAGAATAATTATTCTTTCCGCCAATTCAAGCTGAATATGACTAATTATGGGAAGCTCACGTGCACCGACGTTGCAAATCTTTGGAAACGGCACACCTCAGTTACGTGACGCAGTTCACAGCTGAGCTACCCTACCTGCAGTGCAGTAAACTCTTACAGAATTCTGCAAATAAGAGCAGTGCTTCCTATGCGCTCACGAACGGCTCTCCGTGTATTCAGCTCCTTCCTTTTCTACAGGCCGAAGAAGTCCATATTAACTTTATGCTTGAATAGCTGTTTTGCCTGTTTGCACCCTACCCTGTCAGTGAGTTTTCTGTAACTTTTTTCTAGCTACAGGAGCATGCATAAGCAAAATAAAATGTGCTTAGAAAGAACGTGAAGCCTGGGATTTCTCCTTGTGGTGAGTAGGGCAAGTCTCGAAGGTAGAATGTAGAAATTATGGCCAGCAGAGGAGGCACAGAAGATGATAGTTTTGCTGAGAATTTGTTCTACTCTTTTTTTTTGTTGTTTAATCTTTTGTGATGGGGAAAGTACAATGCTTGCTTACTGCTGGAGTTAGGTATTATGTCTCTCTGTAATTCAGATTTGTATTTATTTCAAGGGTTAACCCTTGACAGTCTAGAATTTTGATTCAGGCTTTAGAAGAGCTTTTCAAGAACCGTCCGGTCTTTGATGAGAGTTATAACAAGACTTCAGCATCAAAAAATGGCTGTGTATTAGGTATCTCAAAAATACTAGCCCGCCTTGGAGCCCTCTCTGTTCTTTCCCCAGCAATTTCTCTACGTTTTCTCAGTGATGACCTGTATTAAGGGAATAATTTTAGTTTGCTAAGCCTCCAAATTTTCATAGTATTCTTTCAAAACACAAACAAAAAACAGTGATTTTTTTTTTCAGTGATGCTCAAAACAAAGTAGTTAATGGCAGGACTCTGAAGTTTTTTTTTTTTTTTCCTTTGCCTTCCTGGATTTCTCTGTGCATCTTGCTGCCCATGCATCTTGTCTTGACACTGACAGTTCTTTTGATCCTATAGCTACTTTCTATATTCACTAAGCTGGAAATCACTGCCTCCCACAGCAGAGCAGGTGGAACAAAACGTGTGCCTGCGCTTCAGCAACTTTAGTGCAAAGTTCAGCAGCTCAATTTAAACTGGTGGTTTGACGTTTCTGAAGAGCGTTCACGTGATCTGGTCCATTGACTTTGCTTGGGAGGCAGTAAACTTTAGCAACAGGGTGGTAATATGTTAAATCACCAGAGCTGCTTGCCAGCTTCTATGTGCCGTTTTTCTGTTATATTTTTGCCACTGAGTGATAAGTATTAGTGCAGTTACTTCTGCACTGCTAGCAGTTCTCAGAATATCAGGATTTATTTAACAGTACAGCATTTGTTTAAAAAAAAAAAAAAAAAAAAGGCTTGTATATGTTTTTGTGGAAGATGCTATGTATAAAATCTGACATGGATCTTCCTATCAAGTCCAGAAGTCTCTAGAGCATCTCTCAGGTGCTTTCTGAGTAAGGATGTCATCTGCACAAGAGAATTATATCATGGATATTTTATCCCTTCCAGTTTGTGTGGGGCGCTTTAAGTTCACAGTTGTACAGTATCGTATGGGCAGATATAGCAACAATTAATATTAAGAAATATAGTCGTATCAATGGAAAAGTCATGTTTGTCTAGCCATGTTTAAGAGTCAACGTCGCGGCTGGAAACCAGGAGTTAGTGTCGTGTGACATAACTCCCTGTGGACTTGCAAATTTGTTCTGCTCTCCAATCATGTATTTCTAGAAACACTGAAGGTAGTCCTTGAGATTTTCTAGTGATCGTAAGGAGAGAGTTTTGCTTTTGCTCCCAAAGTGTGGGCAGACTGTTTATCATCATTGCTGGGATCAGATGGGAGTGTTCAACAGCGTTGGGTCCATTCTGAAGGGAAGGTGGTGCTGCACCATACAAACAAGGCAGTAGAGACATGGAGACAACAGTATAAACCCTGGATGACCTATGCTGCTTGCAAAATAGCTGTATTAAAAGAACAATCCATCTAATTGCGGTTTGGCCTCATGGGCTTAAATTATACTAACTCTTTGGTTAAATGATCTGCTTTTCTTTATTGTGTTTAATGCACAAGAATGGTCTAATCTGGAAATGAACTGAAGTTCTACTATAAAGGACATTGTTGAGTTTAACATGTTTATTTGTTGCAGAAATTGAAAGATGTGCAGTAAGCAAGGCAGAATGAAGGAAGAGCAGATTGTCTTGTGCTAGAGAGCTGAATCCTTTCAGAGGGCTGGGATGTACCCCTACCACCTCCTACACTTTCCGTGTGGTGCAGGGCAAGTCTTTTAAAACTGTCCTTTTGCCGTTGATCAGTACAGTGTTTCTCAAGTCTGGGGTGCCTAATTTAAGATCGTTTTTTTTACTTTCCATTTTACAAAGTGCTAAGCCTAGTGCCTAGCCCAAAGTGCACAGCTAGTTGTGCATGTATTATGTAAAGTCCTGTGTACTTCAAAAGTTGGACACCCCAAGTTGGTTGATACTTTATTCTCTCTGCCCAGCAAGTCTGGTTCTCCCTTTAACTCCATGACCAGTATCTCTCCCATTCCCTCAGCTGGCTCCCAGGCTCCTTACTCAACCTTAGGTTGCCCCTCTCAGCTCCCCTTATGCTCATTGCCAGTCCCTTCACCTGGCCAATACCTGTCTGTTCCCCGCTCTTTATGGCGGTGCTTTCTCCCAGCCAAGTAATTCCTGACCTTATTTCCAGCCCTAGACCTCAGTCACAGTCTTCAGCTGCCTTCGTGATTTTAATCCAACTTTGCCAATATCACTTTTCAAATCTATTGCTCCTTCCCCTACTCCTTTAGTCTGACCGTTTTCTCCTTGCTTTGAATTTGATGCCTCTCTCTTCTTTCTGTAGGCTTGTCCTAGAAATGCAGGTTCCCTTGGTCCTGTCCAGTGTGGACAGCTTTGGAAGCCAAGAGTGCTCAAAATAATTGTTTGGCATCTTTGGAGTTTGTAGTTGTTAGCAAATCTCTGCTGAATGTGTGTTAACTGTGACTTTTAAAGGATTAGGATAGAAAGGAAGGACTGCCAGATTTCTTTTAATTTCTGCAGAACATATTTTTCTTTTAGCCTTTATTCTTGGCAGTAGCTGCTGTTTTAGCTGAAATTAATGATTTTTTTTTTTTTAATCAGCCTGATGCAAACGCTCATGTTTATGTTCCCAAACAACTGTGAAGAAGCATTTGTTAAGCACTAGCTCGAAAGGTATGGGTGCTGCCGTATAAGCTGTCTGCAGTCCTTAGCCTTTGGCTCATCAAGTAATGAACAGACTTCATCTTACCAAGTTTAAGAGACTTGAGAGGAGTACATATGTTCTGTTTTCATGGTGAGTTCAGATTAAATCTCTTCTACAGTTTTTACATCTCTGTACGTTTCTTTTGACAATAAGAGATCAGCCAAGAATGGTTATTTTTTATGGTTAGTTTGATCCAATATAGCCATCTATAGTTTAGTAAAATTATCACTTTCCAAGAAATATCAGTAAGAACTGTATTTCTGCTAACAAATGGTTACTGTAGAGTGCTCCAGACACAAGCTTCCAGCAGGAGGTTTAAGCTTACTGCCTTACTTGAGTTAGGGGTGGATAATGGAACAAGTCGTGTTAATTCTCCATCAGGTTCTCACGCAGCTTTCTATCTTTGTTGGTGACTTCTGCGTCATGGTATCTGAAATGTTCTCTACTTAATATATTATGGTAGGTTACAACTCTGTGTTCCCAAGAGGCTTTCCGGCCCGGAGCAAGCAATCTGTTATGACCAGAAAGATGTGTTTTGTTTATATACTCTGTACAGCACAGCAAAATACAGTCGGTGAAGAAAGAGACATGAAAGCTTCTGTAGTGAATGAGTCTTTCAATGAGAATTTTGATGTTTGTGCTGTATTGAACTTGGAGAATATTTCAGATTGAATATGTACTTAATAATTGCATGAGTGTGCCTACATAAATGTTCAGCGGTTCTATTGCATAGCATAAGTAGTCCAGTAGCCCAGTTGTAATAGAGATATATGTGTCCAGGTGCTGTCAGAATTGGGAACTTTAGCATCCTGCAGGCTTGGATGTGAAATGAGCAGTTATATTAAAATCTGCTAGATAAAATGAGCATGCTACTAAAAATAAGCTGGTAGGATGCAAATAAAGCCATTAGAAGTTATCACGGGCTCCATGTTGGCTTTCTGTACAAGTAGGGAATGGTGCTGATTTTCAGTGGGTGCCCAACGCCTGTTACCTCCCAGCAGGATGATATTGTCCTGGGAGAAGAGCTGCTGGTGGAGTGGAGGTTTCTGCTCCGCTGCGTAGGAGCTGTTCAGCATTTAAACGAGCTGCGAGGTACAGGGAGCCTTTGAGAGCTGCTCTAAAAGCATGGCTCTCCAGTCCTAGCAGAAAGCCAGCGCCTAGGGAGACTAGCAGTGGGGAGCTAATTGGGAGGTTTTGGTCATGGATCAGCATTCTTCTAGTGAGGTTTTACTTCCCAGGAACAGCAATGAAAAATTCTAGTGTTTCGTTACGTAAATGTCATGTCTCGGGGCTAAAAACTTGGCATACGAATACAGATTCTTGACTTCTGTGCTTTCCTTTTTTTGTCTCTCTGTTCTGTTTCTCTCCTGTTGATATAAAGTGGCATAAGCACAGTTTTCCCTACCTCTGGTTACCTCACAGTTAACCTATATACTGCAGCTCAGAAAGTAACATGTTAGTTCTTACTCTTGGAACAGCAGAGCACTGTTATATTGCCATCTTTTTGTAACAGTCCCGAGTTACTTTGAACATTTTGTATCTAGCTTTGAACTGTTTAAAATCCCCAAAACATGTTTGCTGCTGAGGTATCTGCTGTTGTGTGAAAAAGGCGAGAAACAAGAGAGTCCCCTCTGCGAAGGAATGTATTTGATGAGCATAGTTCACCCTTGAAGGAGTTAGCATTAAAAGCTATCTTCCTTTCTGTGCCATATGTGGCAGGTAGGGGCTGGAGAGAGAAATAATGAACCTCTCTTCTCATACAGTAATGCTTCTGCAAGGATGCTCCTGAGGGCGTTCGGTCTGAGTGTGGAAACGTATTTTGCTGTACATGAACCCTTTTCCCCTCCCGTTTCTTGCTTGTTGCTCTGGAAATTTGCATTTGGGATAGACATCGAGAATGAGTTTTAAGTGCGAGGGTAATAGAAGAGGAAAGGGGAAGCAGCTCTTTGAAACTGCCTGGGGAGTCCTGGGAAAGGTTCTTCTAGGAGGAAGCACGGTCTTCTTGTCCCAAGTAAAGTAAAGAACATGAGTAAATTCTCCCTTGAAAAAAGGAGGTTGTGAGGCCTCACTGTTACATGCGGCAGTTGAAAAAGTTTCAGGGAATGTTTGTGGCAGTAATACTATCAACGTTAGGCATTTGAAAATCACAGGAAGTCTTCAAAATCATGAGGGTTTTAGAAATAATCCTTGTTGTATATTTTCGTATTCGTCTTCCAGCTTTTAGGTGGGCCCCAATTTTGATGGCCTGTGCACAACAATATTGAGTAAAATAGCATTCTGCATGACCATCTCATACTTTGCTCTTCCTAAATATTCTCATGGGTTTTCTGTGGCTGTAAGTGGTGTGGAAGAACTAAAATATGTCTTGCAGGCTTTACAAGTTTTCTTGAAGTCATGTTTCCAAGCTCTACACTGTGCCTTCATGATGGTTATGAGGATGGGCAAAAACTGCCTTTATTTGGGCTCCTAAATACGTGTGGATTTGTGCAATTTTATATAGTTCATTGTCTTAGGGATTCACAGTGCAAAATTATGCACAAGATGCTAATCTGAACTCTGACAGCAGTGTCTATCTGTATTGCATCTACCTGGGACTTTTAGAAAGAGAAGAATTAGTGAAATGCAAACAAATCCGCTTTATGGTATTTCTGCAGCAGAACAATATAAGGAACCAGAGAGTCTCTGCACTGGATGTTTTGAGCCTGTTGCTTCATGGGAAGCATTAAAATTTGGGCTGTTCCTGTAGGCAGCCCTGTGCTCTTTGCTGTCATGACGAGGGCATTCTGAGAGGAATGTGGCCAGAGCATGATGTGCCCTCCAGGTGGGACCTGCTACTGAGGCTGATAAATTAGAGCTCTTGAATGGCTGGTCTAACTTAAACTGTGAGGTTTGAGGTTTGGAGGAATCATGAAGTGATAAAAATTGATCTTTGCCCTTTTCTGGGTGTATTGTTTACCTGCTGGGTTGAGGAAGGAGGAACCCATGAAGGCATATGTCTCTAGAGAGAGTAGTGTTGAGTGGCTCTTGGCAGGGGGCGAGCTTTCAGTTCTTCTCAGAAGTGTTAAGTGATTTGGGGACACAAGAGAAAATATAAATACTAACCTCCAGAAGTAGAAGGAAATGGGAATATATATATATTCCCACACATATGTGTATGTATATACATATATATGTGTGTGTACATACATATACACACACACATATATATATATATTTGGTGACCTCTTTCTCCTGAATGCTGCAGTTATGCTTACAGATTAGGAATGGTCTAGAATTGGGTCCATTTGAAACAATGAAGCCATGCAGGTGAAAAGAAAGACATCTGAAGAGAAGGGTGTTCTCAGAGCACAAGTTGAAAGGTCTGAGCTCTCTGTGAAAGTCTGACTGGGTTAGAAAAAGGAAAGCCATGCATATGAGTTCTATGCAAACAGACTTAAAACTATCTTGAAATTAAACTGTGGAGTAGATAGGGAAAATATCATTTATCTGTCGTTATTTTGGGGATGTTGTAGCTAAAGAAAGATCCTCTAGAATTATGATGCTAAGATCATGAGGGCATAATTCGCAGAACCGTAAGAAGGAAGACATTAAAACAGGAAAAAAAGAAAAAAAAAAAACCAAGGAAGTGAAACTGTGAACTCAGAGGGAACTTTGGTAGTACCAGATTAACAGAATTAGCAGTCAGAAAGTGAAAGCATCCAGATGTCTAAAAATTGGGAGATTTACATTTATCAGAATGAAAATGAAAGAAGAAGCAGCCCTCAGCACAATACATTTTCAAAATGTTAAACTAGTGCTAGAAGAGAGTACCTTCAAGGCACTGCGTGAATTAGAAGGTTCGGTACAGAGGCAGTGTAAAATTTATAAGTGGTAACAATTTACTTTACTTTCAGAATCAGCCTCCTGAAGCATAACAGGAAAAAAGAAAACCCCAAAGCAAAACATGAGGTTAGCACACTGACTTCTGCAGGCACCTAAATCAAAGGAAACTATTAATTGCAGTTAATACACTTAGAAATCTTATTTCAGTCTGCAAAGCTGCCCTAAAATATCTGCTCAAATGCATTATTTTTAGGAGGATGATTTCTAATAGAAAAACTTCTTTAATGGTTACCCTGCAGGCAAAGAGAAATATGCAAATGTAATTAAGTTCCAGAGAAGAAGAAATATAACTTAAAACCATGGTGGCTGAAGTGACTATTTCTTCAAGAAGCCATTAACACCAAGGGAGTTGGTAGGTAACCTGTCATTGGTAACCTGCAGTCATGATTTCATCTTTCCCACTTCCACAAGCCCTCAGACACATACCTATTTCTTCTGTCTCCATCCAAATCAACAACTTTTTATTTCTGAGCAGATACTTGGTTAGGATATTTTCTAAGGTGAGACTCTTGTGGCTCTTGTGTGTTGAAGTAGGAAATTCAATGCATTATTAAAATGCTGGCTTGTACTTCTGTCAAGTAGCTCTGAGTGCTATGGCACATTGGTTGTAAAGAGGTTTTTTTTTGTTTCCTACTGAATCAAAAGAATGGGCTAACATCCCACTGGTAAGAAACAACTCTGTCTTCCTCCAAACTAGACAGTATGAGGCTTGGTTCCGGTTGTAGGAACAGCCTCTTGACAGCTGCTCCCTGTTCTTCCTAAACGTGAGCCTTTTGAGTCTGTGAATTGTAAGTCAGCCCCTTTCCATCCAGTTACCTGCATCCCTGTTAACTTTTGAGCAGCTGTTACAAGGTGAGCGAGTGTGTGTATTACAGAATCACAGAATGGTTGAGGTTGGAAGGGACCTCTGGAGATCATCTAGACCAACCCCCCTGCTCAAGCAGAGTCACCTGGAGGAGGTTGCCCAGGACCCTGTCCAGAGAGTTTCTGAATGTCTCCAAGGACGGCACACTCTGCAACACCTCCAGGCAACCTGTTCTAGTGCTCGGTCACTCCTACAGTAAAAAATTTTTTCCTTATGTTCAGACAGAACTTCCTGTGTTTCAGTTTGTGCCTGTTGCCTCTTGTCCTGTTGCTGGGCACCACGGAGAAGAGTCTGGCCTCATCCTCTCAACACTCTCCCTTCAGATACTTATACACATTGATAA